GATTCTGCCTCTTGAGAGGTGTGCTTCCTTCCTGCCTTTGACAGCACAACATCCGTTTGACAGCACAAAATCCGTTTGACACATCTAACATCGGCGCTGAACAGGTCCTCTTCTGCAGATTTCGGCTCCTGATAAACCTGGCATCTTTTCTTTTGTGTCTGCAGGCACACTCACATGCAAAGGTAAGCATGCTCTGTTTTCTGTTTTCCGTTTTCCATTTTTTCCTTCCAAGCACATGATGATATCCTCTACGCACTCTAGCCTCCCAAGGCAATGCGACTTTCATTCGTCGATCTGAACGTGCATTTCTCGGGCTCCACCTCACTTGAAGTCTTTTTCTGGGATTCTACTGATCGCTTTATTCCAGGCTTTTCTCCTCTAGGAATTCGCCTCGGGCGCCAGCAAGGTAAGCATGCTCTTCTTTTCCCTTTTCCATTTTCTCTACATATGATGAAAACCTCTACAACTCTAGCCTCCCGAGGCGATGAGAGTTAGATTTCGACGATCTGACGTGCATTTCTCGGGCGCCAATGTCCTTTGCAATCTCTTCTTGGGATTTTCCTGACTTCCTTCAGCTCCAGGCTCCATTTTCTCAAGCGGGTATTTCAAGTGTAGCAAGCATGATCACTTTCTCCTTCTCCATTTTCCTTCACAAGCACATGATGAGATCCTCTACGCACTCTAGCCTCCCGAGGCAGTAAGGGTTTGGCATTCGTTGATCTGAGCGTGCTCCTCCATTCAATCAGATACTGGTATTCGCACTTTGGGAATCGCAGGGCGCTTTGCTAATGCCGCTGTCGGTCTCAACTCTTTAGGCAGCATTTTCGGGACATGCAACACATGATCAGAGCATTCCAATCATAACTTGTCGCGCCCGGCGACTTTCCACATATACACCTGGTCCTGGATTTCTTCATCAGTCTTTTTTCCCCCTTCTTCTTCACATCTTTCGGTGGGCTCGTGGGCTTTTTGATGTTCCCCTCCGACAATCTCACCACATGATGCAAACAAACTCTCAAAACCACCTGGTAGCCTTTTGGCTTGGACTTGCTTCGGCTGGGACTTGTCTTCTGGCCGTGACCCGTTTCGGTTCATAATGAGAGCGGTCAATTATCAACTGCGAGGCTTTCTGGCGACAGAAGTGACCATCAGTTGGATAGACCACTAGTCTGACGAGATGGGGCGACATCCGACAAACACTTTCGACAAAACTTCGACACACGCCAACTTTCGATCGGGGATGCCGTCGACGGCGGGTGGGCGTGGGGGCCCACACACACATCGGCGGAACAAACACGGCAACCTATTAACCGCGAAGCGATCAAGTGATCGCGACGCACGCAGCGAATAAACAACTGGTCCACCTAGCCCCTTTTCCTTATGTGGCCTCCACGTCCGGGAGTGGCCGCTCGCAGCCTGCGGGTAGATTTCGGGTGTGCGTGCCTCTAGACTGCCCGTACCCTAACAAGGCAGCACCTTCCCCTCCTCCTTTCACGTCCGATTCACACTGCGCCCCTTGTATGTCCGAAACCGCGGGGGACTCCTTCGGGGAGTTTTTTTTTTTTTTTTTCGTGGGTCCTTGGGGGGTTTTTCTATGATATGCTGGAGTGTCTTCGGTCGAAGCAAAACCAATCCCTATGATGACCAGCATTTATATTATGTTCTCGCACAGAGAGCCGAGTTCGCCCTTCGGGTAGAGCTATGATCCAAACAATCCGTGTCTGAGGGGTCTTTTCTCGGGGGAAATCTTGCTTGCCGTTGCGTCTTCGGGGGAGCTGGCTTCGGTCTTCAATTGTGTGGGCTTCATGGGATGAGCACCGTGGGATGAGCACCGTGGGATCCATTGCAGCTTCGGGGGGTTGGCTTCGGCCTTCATGTGGGTTGGGAGCATGGTTCTTGTCATTCTTCCGGGGTGGGTTGAGCATGGTCTTCATGCCTTTTCCCTCCGGGAGAACTGGCTCTTACCTTTGCGGGTATCCAGTTCTCCAGTGGGTTTTACGCGGGCTTCTGGGGTTTTCAACGACAATTTCAATAATGACTCAACAAAACAATACTGACTGAAAGGCCGGACCTTTCTCCGTCTGCGGACGGAGGCACCAAGTGGCGTAGTCAATGGCCGAAAAACCGCATTCTGAGAAACCTGACTTGCTTCCTTTTTTCATTCTGTCTTCATCATATCACATCCTCTCCCATTCACTCCTGTCACTGCGGGGGGGCTGTCTGGGCTCGCCTAGGCACCTCCCCTCGGAGCAGCAATTTTAATGACGAGTTAGTTAGCGAATGGCCGGATCTTTTTCCGTCTCCGACGGAGGCGGCAAATGTCGTGGTTAATGGCCGCAAAACACACGTTCGAGAAACCTGTCCTGCCTCCGCTTTTCCTTTTGTCTTCATCACATCATATCCTCTCCTTCTCCTGTCACTGCGGGGGGGCTGTCTGGACGAGCCCAGGCACCTCTTCGCGGGACAACGATTTCAATGATGAGAGCCGGACAGATGGCTGGACCTTTTCCCGTTCGCATACGGGCGCCAATGGCGTGTCAATGGCCGAAGAAAAAACCATACACTACGGAGCATTTTTCTGAGAAATTGATCATGATCCCGCTTTTCCTTCTGTCTTCATCACGTCACATTCCTCTCCCGCTCGTGTCACTGCGGGGAGGATGCCTGGGGCTTGTCTGGGCACCTCTCCGCAGGACAACAATTTCCATGATGACTCCTGAATACAGACCGCTTGGCAAGACCGTTCTCTGTCTGCGGAAAGGGGCGTCAAGTGTCGCGTGTCAATGGCCGAAAAAACTCGATCTGAGAAATTGCCCTGCTTCTTTCCTTTGGTCGGTGTCACTCCACACTCTCTTCCTTCTCCTGTCACTGCGGGGAGGCTGTCGGGGTCCGCCCAGGCACCTCTCCGCGGGCGCTTTGGACTGGCGTCCGGTTTAGCAGAGTTCTCCAGATTTCGACACGGTGGTCGGCGGAGAAGAGACGAAGCTAGGGTGATTGTTGGTCTTGCTGCGAGCGCGAGTTCTTCGTGCTTGCAGCAAAGCCTGCCGAGGCAGGAAAACCAAATTTTCACTGAGGGCAACAGAAGTAAGGTAGCCAAGTCCAAGGGGCCAATGATGAAGCGTCGTCCGACTGCAGGGTCGAAGGCTTCTGTCTGAGCCCGCGGTGGGATGGCGGTGCCTTGAAACAACTCCCCTCTCCGAACGTGCCAAGTGAAGGTTGACATGGGGTACGTGATGAGGGGGCCGGTGGCGCAATGCCATCCGGCCGAGGGGAGATGGCACTGACTGAGGCCTCTCAAGAACTTACCAGCGGGCGTTGGATTGCTTTGGAAGTCCCCTGGACTATCCTGTGACGAGTCGAGTCCAGTAGGTGTCGGCCTGCCATTTGAGTCGCCTGACAGATGGCACTCAATTCACCCTCTTCTGAGCCTGCAGAGCGAGGGTGGCCTCCCGATTGGAATATTTCCGACGAGTCAATCGGGGGGTTGGGGGATCCGCGATAATGAATTTTCTGCATATCATATCGCGTGGGCTGTCCCGAAGCGCACACAGACCTGAGCATATTCATAGCACTGTTGCGGACGACGGACTAGTCACACATATCGTGGGGGGTTGAGGCGAGCAACCCAGTGAGACTGAGAACGGCTTAATTGCGAACCAAGGGGCCAATGATGAGACCATCGTCGGTCGCCAGCTACACGCGGCGAGACGATCCGAACTGAGGCCTCTCAAGTACGTGGGCACCTGAGAGACAGAGTCACACGCAATTCTCGAGAGCATGATATTCCGAAGCGCGAATGTGGGCAACCCGGAGGTTTGAGGCACCCTTGACGGCCTGGGTCGTCAAGGGAACCACGGGGCGCTCACTGGGTGGCTCCAAGACCGCGAACATTTACATCTACAACTCGTTAGTCGTGGTGGGCAACGAGAGTGAATGTGTCCACTGATGGTAACAGCGCGACAGCGCGGCCTTGAACCCTCCCTTGCTCGAGGGTTTGCGGGTCGACAAAAACAACGAGTACAATGAAACACAGGGCCGATGATGACACGCCGTGGGGTTGCGTTGCGGTTTCCTTCGGGTTGTCGAGCGCGGAAAGACGGCACTTTGCTGAGGCCCTTGGCTAGCATTTACACTTCGTCGTGGCGGTGTTGAGGGAGGGGGGTATGGGGACAGATGCGTGTGTTTTGTGTTATTGGGGAGGGAAGAAGACATATTAATTATGAGGCTTGAGGATTCTGTAAATAAATACTCGATTATCTCAAGAAACTCGACGTTCGCAAACCACCACAATATGCATTGACGTTATAATGTCTGTTTTGCTTCCAGTGTCTTGGCGATACGAGATGTGCCTCGTTGGCGTGCGACTTCTAATTACCGCCCAGCATAATCACTGTTAAGTATTAAGTATTAATTTTGCTTCTACTTGTTGCAGAATTAGATGGGATGCCGTATGCTCATGTCTGGGTTTCCTGTCCTTTGTATTTCTTTATTGGCATTTTTTTTGGAACTAATTACTTCCCCTGTAAACCGACCATGTTCGCCCACCCCCTCTCCCTCTCTGCCCACTTAGCCGTTTCTCCAACCCTCGCTTCTCAAATAATATTTCTTTTACAGTTTTTAACACTAGCAGTCGTGTCACTACCCAGGGTAAGATACTTTTCGGAATAATGCAAATCCCAATCCGGCCCCGCTTGACCGGGCGGGGGGGGGGGGGCAAAAGCAGCAGTCAAATTGCCAAGGACGCGGGTTCCTCCTGCAATAATTAAACAAATTGACAAACCTACAATCAATCCCGGAAGTCACTCCTGGCCTGTCTCGCCCACCATCTTCTTTATACATCTAAGCTCCTCGGTCTTCTCTCTCTCTCGTGAACATGATCACAGCCGCCACCGAATTTCGTCATATAAATACCTCACCGGCGTCATCGGCTCCCACCACCAAAAATCGTCAAAGAAATACCTCACCGACTTTATCGGCGCCCACTCCAGAAACGGCAATATTTAGGCGATGGACATCGGGAGCTTCACGGGGTTGGCCAAGTTGTGCGCGACCCTCTCGTGGTGCTTGCAGACGAGCTCGTCGAGTAGCTCCCTGAGGCTCTCAGCCAGGGCGTTGAGCCGGGCGGGCAGGTCAGGCCGCAGCGGGAAGTTGTACCACTCAAGCAGCCAGTGCTTCTTGCCGTCGCCGCCGCCGCCGCCGTCGTCGTCGTCGTCGGTATGCAGCGGCACGACTTCCTTAGTGGCCACCTTGTCTATGAGAGCCTCGAATTCGTCGCTCAGTTCCAAGACTCGACCATGCGCGGGGCCGAAGTACCGGTTGCCCTCGGCATCCTTGACTGACCTGTACTCGTAAGTGGGCGGCTCCTGTCCCTTTGCCAGTGCCTCTCTCCGTCTCTGTTCGTATGCCCGGTTGGTTCTCTCTCTCTGCGAGTCTCCGTAGTCGCTGGCAATGTTCCTCCCGAGATCCGAACTGTAGCTTGATATTGCCCATTGCAGGCTTAAATAGAGTGTCCAGTCGGTGGCGCCGGATGCAATAATGGCGACGGGCGCTCGGGCGTGGCGCTCGAGGAGCTGCATGAACGCCGTGTCCGGGCTCGGGTTGAAGGGTTTGACGACGGTGAAGTGGTTCCGGCGGTGGTTCTAGTGGCAGCATGAACAAAGCGGCGACCGCGGCGGCGACGACAAGGACAAGGCTCAAGCTGCCAAAGCTGCGGGATCTTTGTTGCCCTTGCGCGGCTTTGTTCTGCAGGTAGGCAATCAATCAATGTCCCGCGTCAGCAAAGAGAGGGCTCCTTCGGGAGTTGGCCTGCGAGTTAGGTATGGAACTGGATGGATGCTTTTGCTCACCAGCCACATCTGGCCATACGCAGAGCACCTGGGAGGTCTTGGTGCGGTTACTGCGGTATCGCATTGTGAGCTACTTAATCATCGTCTCCTCAGGTCTCCTTGTGATTTTATTTCTTGGACTTTGCGGTCGGTGGGCGTGGGCAGCCATTCTCAAATATGTCGTCAGGGGCATCGTCGTCGACACCAAGAACTTTGCCACGTCCTCGCTTGCTGGGTGCTGGGACTGGGCCTGCGGAAGAGCCGGCAGCATGGGGTCCTGGGTCAACGGAACAGCCGGCAGCATGGGGTCTTGGGTCTACAGAACAACCGGCAGCATATGGGCCGGGGGCCAGGACACACTCTGGGCGGCCTCGACTTTCTGCAGCGGCGCTTTCTACGCCGTCGGCTCGAAGATGGGCTGGGTCTCGCCCACAGTCCTGCCGCCGTTAGACGACGGGCAGTGCGCCGGGGCCGCGCCGATCCGGAGCGAGCCGTTTCTGCACGTCAACGGCATGGTCATGGCCCATCGACAAGCAGAGCCCCACACACACGAACTGCAGCTGTTTCGCGCCGGCTCCGACTCCAACTCCAGGCCCGGCAGCGGTGGCGGCGGCTCCACGTCTCAGGATCAGCAAGACCAACCAATACGCCTCCTAGGCGGGCTGGCCGTCAAGCCGCCACCCGAAATGTTTAATGCCACTACTGGCCCGCAACTCAACGCCATCGCGGCAGACAATGGGTGGTTATGAGCACACATGCGCAGCAGCCTCGAGGACGAGCGCTGCCGCATATGCCAGTTCCGCGCGGTTCTGCGGGATCAGCCCCCCGCTGTGCTGCTGTGGAAGCCATCAGCGACACGGCCGACGGGACCGTGGTGGACCTCGGTAGCGCGAACAGCGTAGGAGGCCGTTTAGAGCGTGTTTAGAGCTTCGACGCAGAGCCGCATGCTCCGCCAAGTAGGCAGGCTGGAGTCGATAGTCTTCAAGGGCCTGGCTGCGCGGAAGGAGTATGGATGGCATCGCTTGGTCGCCAAGACACAAACACACACACACACCAATAACGAGAGGCCTGGTTCTTTAAGCCGACCAGATTGAATAAGAGCGCCGGAGATGGACTCCGACTCGGCGCCGTGGCACGGAGCGGCGGCGGCCTCGGTCAGTTCATCAAGATGAGGAGTAGCAGCGCGACAACACGCACACGATGGGGTGAGCAAGCTTGACCTTGTTCGAGACACCGAATCCGAGAAACACAAAGGACGTCGCGCCAAGGAGAAGAAGGGAAAGGACAAGAAACCTGCTGCGTCATCTTCTTTGTCCTCACACATTCGCAACAGCACGGTCTCCACTTTTCCCAGCGGCAGCAGCAGCAGCAGGTTTGGCATTAGCTCCCGCTTCGTCCTCGCCCTCCTCGCCGTGCCCGCCGCTCTGCTAGGGGGATTCCGGTGTCCCGAGAACAGCAAGCACGCAGCTATACCGTCGTCAAGCCCCCGAGCCCGAGTCCGGATGTGGCCTTTGCACACCTCTTCCAGCGCCAGGCGCTCGTGCCGCTCGCCATCGTAGCATCGGGCGCGACCAACTGTCACATACAGCGGTGTGCAAAAATGAGGGCAAAAGAGTGCTTGTATTCGGAAAAAAAAGGAAAGGTGGGCATCGCCTAGATACCGTAGTTATGCGGCATTCGGCTTACATAGCTTAGGCCGTAGGCGGTCTAGCATATACGCCACCTGCGCCCACATGTGGCTCAAATGCGGCTTCTTCCGACACCAACTTGGGGGTCTACCAAGCGCTAGAATTCGCCACAGCGCGGTACTGCAGGGCACTCCAGCGCTATCTCCTCGGCGACTGGCTGGGCCTGGACCTACAGCAGAGACGCGCTGGAACGGGTTCTCGAGGCTCTCATCAGGCCGCTGCACAGCGAAGTGGTGGTGCCGCTGGACACGGACATGGTCTATCTCCGGGACCCTGAAGCCGTCAACAGGCTTTTGGACGCGGCCAAGGGGCTCGCCGCGCTGTTTGCCATGGCGGACGAGGACGAGATGCAGCAGCAGCAGCAGCAGTCTCCGCGGCCCCCAGCGGCGGCAGTGGCAGTAGCATCTTCTCCGGGAAAGGGCGGCCGCGCCGAAACCCTACCTAACGATCACGACGACGGCCTAGCGCTGGCTCGCAACGCTAGCCTCGCGATACCGGTCCTGCACGTGCTGTCCACGTGGCTGGAGCTGTCGCAGGAGCGGCTCAGAAAGTCGGGCGCAGCAGCAGGACACGTCGAGGCTCTGCACAAGGGGCTGGGCCTGATAGCAACGCTGGCCGGCGAGCTCCTGCGGCCCGGGTGGGAGCAGTGGCGCACTCTCAACCGGCCCGCTGGCGGCGACGATGATGATGATGACGGTGACGACGATGACGATGATGACGATGACAACGACTAGCCAACGGCAAGGAGCTGGAGGCTCGAGAGAATGGCTCATCTCCATGCTGAAGCGCACGCTGAGCTGGCGCAGCTCCTGCACGCGCAGAAGCAGTTTGCCGGGCCTGCGGCCGAGTGCCTGGGGCTGGGCCTGGCCGACACAGGCGGCGTCGGCGAGGCCGAGCGGCTCATTGCTTGGATTGACAGTCTCGCGAACGGGCAGGGGTGGACGCGGCTGATCCGGCGCGTCGACGACAAGGAGGGGGGAAAGAAGCGGTGGACCCCGAAACAGCCAGAAACTTCTTTTCCGGACTTTAGTGGCGCTCAGTGGAGATACAACAGACGGCGATGCCTAGGTGGGCAAAGAGAGGGTAAATACCTACTTGTGAGACTGAGTAGAATCAGGAAGTACACATGCGAGGTCGGATGAAATAATCGTGGAGAATACTTAGAACGTACCTACCTTACCTACACTGTGCTTGCATGTGCAACCCCGGGAACAGCGAATTGCGTGTGGGCCACCCATGGACATTGGATGGATGGGCCAACTTGACGTCCATGGAAGGAGGCTCCAAGATTTAGTGTTTTGGCAGGGCAAGTCAGGGCAGGCGCTCTTTCCTTCCCCCAAAGATGAAGCGGAAGTCTGGCCTCGCTTCCCGTGTCTCGTCTTGACCCCGCATCGGACCCAATGCTTGTTTCTGTCAGGTGGCTCCGTCCCTCTTAACTCTTTCCTGTTCCAAATCAATCAACCGCCAGTCCTCTCAGATCAAACTCAACCTCGCGCGAGTCGCCCGCCTGTTTTGGTGCTGACAAGTGTCCCGCTGCTGATTCTCCCTTCCTCGGCCATCCAATATCTAATTCTTGATTTCAAACGCGCCAAGCTCAAACGACACGAGCTCTGTATCTCGGCCCAGCTCAAACAGCCCGGTATTCTAGTGGTATGTGACGATGCAGTGCCATTCTACACCCTCCCAAGACGGATGAGCCAATCTGGCATCGGCCCTGGCACTCCGACCTCGAACATGATGAACATCACAACATTCACTTTCTGGCCATCCGAGTCTTTCCGCCGCACTCGACCGTCGCTGGCATACGGCGGGTTTTCTGCTGCTGGCGTTGGTCACTCGCGGCCCAAGCATGATGACGATTGAAGATTCTGATCGAGCTTCCAAACACACGCGAGAAGAAACGGCTGGCATATTATGATCTCAAGGTTGATGCTAACGCCTGGTTTCTTTTCGCTAGGGATATCCTAAACGTCCTCGATCAAACCAGGCACCTACGTGAAGACCGCGGCCGTTGACGGCTTGAGAAGGCCCTGTTGCTGGATCTACCGAGCCTATCAGTCAGGACAGGGCCTGTACTATTCTTCAACATGAGATCTGAATGTTCTCTAGCACACTGTTAGACAGTAACGAGACAAAGAAGCACAGTTCATATACTAGCAGGGCTCAGGCAATACGCATTTGTGCCAGATAGCTGTAACATGGCGGCGAATAAAATCCCCGCCACATGGCACATTATCAGCTGAATATTCACGGACCTGTGCTCTCATATATCGGTAGAGCTCCAAGAGTCCAAGCTAAAAGTTCTAGAAAGTCTCGAGTCATTTAAATTGCTAGTCAAAGCGGGCCCTGGTCAGCGAGTAAGCCCTTAAGGTTAACTATTCAACTCATCAGAGACAATTTAACTGGTATACCAAAGGCTATAGATTCCCATCTCCATAAGTCACAGCAACACTATACTTTACAATTAGAGGAGCGTTTATATGACTCCAACAATCGGCAACTTCCGGGAGAGCATAAACCCGGATTTTGCAATTCAAAACACAAGCATGAGTTACAAACCGCAGCTCAGGCGAGAGGCTTCCCAAGCCGGGAACCCAAAGTAATCAGGCCTGGAATGATGACAATCATCAAAGGACGCAAAGTATCTCGGATAAGACCCCAGCACAAGCGAGGCACGACGTCATTCCGACCAAGGAAGGGGGTCGGAGTATGAGAGTCACAAGCTCAATGAACAGTGAATACTGATAGGTGACCAAAGTGTCTAAATTCTAGGCAGCAACGGTTCCTCACCGGAAGCCTGCAGACGAGGCTGTCGACCGCCCGTAGTTAGCCAGCCAGTTAAGCGTACCGCCACGATAGCTCCTCCAGACACCGGACCCTGAAGCCTAAAATGCTAAACGCAAGAAGCTCTCGCACGAACCCAAGAGGCTCTGCCCCTAGCTTAATAATACCAAACCGGGACGAGAGCCGCCATGCAGCGAGGCCTTTCTTTGCCCGACCCTGACGTAGGGAGGAAAGTCGTTGTTACACTGCAGCCAGCACCTGGCAGCCTTACCCGGCGGGCCGCAGCGACTGGACGGATGCAGTTGCAGCACGCGGCTAGACCACAGTAAGGCAGACAGATAGCGGGAGGATACATGAAGGAAGGAAGCGGACCTGAGACGGGCCAGCGCACAACTACAAGAGAAAGACAGGTCTCAGGGACAAGAGCAAGCTGAGAGCTGTCAGGACAAGGCTAGCAGATGTGCCAGAACGGAGCAACAGCTTCGGAACCCTGGGCCGACGACGACGATGGCGACGGGGACGGCGACGACGAGCGGCCAAGACAACAGGACGGGCTTCTGCTGCACAAACCGCCAACCGCCAACCGCCAACCGCTCCCTCAGCCTGACCCGAAAAGCGCACTTTTAAAGCGCCAGAGCCGCGTGGGGATGGGGGGGACGAGACGGATGGCTGGATACAGCGACAAGCGGCTCCGCATCTACACACACACACACACACACACAGTTTCGCACACACACTCTCGCACACACGCAAGGGGACGAACTCAACGAACTCAACGAACAAAAGGACCTCTGCTTACTTGCTTAGCCTATCCTATCCCGACTTGACCTGGCTTGGCTTGGCTGCCTATCTGCAGGTGTGTGTGGGGAGGAAGCATGCATGCATGCTGCAGGAAAAAAAGAAGCAAAAAGGACGAACAGGCTGCCGCGGCTGGCATGGTTTCGTTCATTCGTCCTTTTCTTTTCTTTTTTTCGAGGACGGCAGCGGCAGCCAGCCAAAAGGACGGAAGGGGTGCTCTTTCCGAACAAAAGGGAAAAAGAAACAAAATCGAGATTACAGTCGTGGTGTGTGTGTGTGTGTGTGTGTGTGTGTGTGTGCGCGCATCCGATAGGCTGTGTCGTCTACATCATCCCGACTCCGTCTCAAGCTTCGCACCTTTCTACTTCACCGTGCTGCACTGTTTACTAGTTGGTTGCTTGGTTGGCGGGGATGGCGGCTTCGGGGAACACCAGGCTAGGTATCAAGGTGGGTTAACCACGAACCAGGCTAGCCCAGACCAGCCGACCGAGACACGCCTCCAGTGCATCCGGGGAACATCATCTCTCTGTGCCAGGCCAGCCTCGCCAGGTAGCTGCTGGCTGGTTAGTTGGATGGATCGGATGGGATGGACGGGAAAGCGCCGTTATCGACTCCCCACCCCCCACTGCCGACCAACCAACGCACCCACTCACTCACACACACACACCCATGCTTGTTTCTCTACGGTGCATACACATACACAAGCAGTCTAGTGCCGGACGCCCTACGAGGAGGACCTAGGGGCACGAGGCTGCGGGCAGAGATGGAACTACCATCGTGAGACCATTTGTTGCTTCTTCGGTGACGACGGCCCAGAGCCCCGAGTCCAGTGGCAGAGAGGAGGCCTCCCGCATCGACGTGAGGGGCAGGCAGGCAGAGAGATACAGAGGAGAGCGGCGGTGGACGAGCGAGCGAGTGAGTCACGGCACGAGGACCTATAGTGAGCAAGTGGAAGAACATGATCCTTAGGGGACAGACAGGCTGATGTCTGGGGCGTGCACCGACAATGTCACGAGAGATACTCGGTAATCAAGAAAAGCGAACGGTCAAAATCCATCTAGGACTACCTGCAGCTCCTACGCGAGTTTGGAAAACTGCCCAGCCTTGCGAGCGTCTCCGACAGGATGGATGGATGGATTGGGGATGGCAGTGGAGCCACTAGCAGCATGCATGCAGACACACCACTCACAAAGAGAGTGAGAGACGGGTAGACGTCAGCTTTCGGCCGAGATAGTTTGGCTGGCCAGGCCTGTAGAGAAAGAAAAGACAAGCCCCCCACGGCAGCCACCGCCAGAGCCGCAGCGAAACACAGAAAGACAAACGGAGTCATATCTACTATTGTACATTTTATGTGGGGTATGCGGTGTGCGGGCGATAGACAACTTCGCTGCTGCTGCACAACAATGTCCACCGACCACAGCACGAAACAACAAGCAGCAATGACAAAAGAGCGGGAGAAGCAGATCGTCGTCGTCCTGTAAGGTCCCGTGATGGGCTCCCTCCGTCGATCCGCCGACAAGCAAAGATACAGGCTCTGAATTACACAGCCTTCTGTCTCTAGATGCCCAACAAGTCCACAGTGCGGCAGAACGACCCTCGACATTCCCACCTCGAGACGTCATGCTCCCGCGTGTCTGAGCAATAAGCAACAGACATTCATGGAGTGCGAGGGCGTGAGGATATCATCCACCGCGGTGAATCAGAGGGAGAGGAGATGCAGCACAGGACAAGGCTCCGCCATGATGTGCGCGTATGTGTGCGTGCTACGATGGCTTTTCGCGACTTTGCAGCCACATTGAGGGATAACGTCACCAGACATTGCTGTTACTGGGCAGAGCGTAAAGGCTTCGACCGAATAATGAGGAGCTTCCAGAAGAGTACGAAAGAGAGAAGAAAGGGAAGAAAAAGTGAGGCGGCTGGGGAGATGCTGCCCTATGACTGGGATATCACCCAGAGCATGCGCGCACCTCTGGGTGGCGGGGAAGGGGACGATCACGATGACGGTCCTGACTGACAGAGTCGACTTCCTGGGCTTGACTCGCAGGGCCCCATGTCTTCCCCAGACTGCACGGAGAGGGACTGGTCAAGTCCTCGCCAATAGCAAGACCGGACGCCGTGGTAATGAGCTCTGCCTGGCACCGGCTCGCCTAAAGAAACAGGCAAGCGAGGGGACCTTTCTCTACTGCAGGAACAAGGCCGTCTGCCGTTGGGTAGGAAAAACAGCCTCCTGCCACTGACTCCCTATGACAACACGCTGGCGCTGGCTGCTTGCTGCCTGTACAGCCACACTGCTCTTCCTCTGCCTATCTCGGATACGCGGAGAAAACAGACAAACACGAAAAGCCCGCAGTGAGCTGGAAGATGGCTGGGGTGCCGGACCGACGAGGACCCCACGCTGGTTCGACATGGAGAGGAGGGGCACTTTGCCTCGTTCCGGGAGAGACCAAGGAGCCCGCGTCGCCTAAGGTGGCAAAGCAAGCTGGCGGGGACGAGATAGGGATACGCGCCGTGGTAGGCTACCGAGACAGCGCGTGCATTCCGTAACGGGGCGCGGGCAGGTCGCGTCGAGGCCCCTGTTTGCTGTCTTAATTCTTGCGATAGCGATGGGCGGCACGCGCACGAGGTAGGCGAGTCGAGAGGTATGAGTTGTAAGTCTGTTCGTGCGTGACTCACAATAGCAAGTGCTTGCCGTCGGAGAACCAGTAGTATCAAGCGACTTGACACCCTCAGCCACACTTTAGAGCCTCAAACCGCTAGCGACAAAAGCGCTGGTCGTTCGCTCCAGCCCAGTTGGTTATCGAGAGGCAAAAACAACAATCCCTATCTTATCTCCGAAGAGAAGCAGAAGGCGGTGCGCATGTGCGGCCAGTGAGGTAGTCGGAGCACCCCGTGACCGACATTCCGTGGCCTCGGGCGGACAACGGCGACCACAGCAGCGGGTGTTTGCAACGCGGTGAGTCAGTCCTGCCATGTCAAGCGCCTTGGGTGCAATAGGGGCCGGGATATAATTGCCTCAGCCACAACCCAGTTGCGGCCTTGGGGGAAGTGCCCGCGCCATAAATCCGATGCGCCGGGCAAAAAGGGGCGTGCCGTTAACAAATTGAGAAATAATTCTAAATGAATCATATCACGGTGTAATTTATGACAAAGACCTGCGTGGGTGACGTAGTGTTCGTAGGGTGCCCCAGTTGTCCGTCTTCGTTGTGCTGCATGGGCGTTGACAGGAAAGAGCTGGCGGGAGGCAAACAGAGGGAAAGTTGGGCAAAAGAGGAATTGGTCATGCCTGATTTTGGGTCGAAGTCAGAAGAAGATGCTGGACCGTGCGTCAAGGTGCCCGACTCTGCTCAACTTGACTGGCTGCTTGGGCCTGCCACTAAAGTCAAACGGGAAATTCCCGGAACAACGTCCGAAAATCCCACGGGCTCGTTTTTCCTGGGGGTGGCGGTGCCTGCGAGTCCCGAGGGGAGCCCCCCATGCTTCCCCCCTCTCACAACGCCACCGTGTGGCTTGGTGACCCAGACCCTCGGATCAAGCCCAAGCCCAAACCCAAGTCGGAACCTGAGATGTGAGGCCCCCACTCGACGACAGGCTCCGTGGGATCGCTGCTTTTCCGTTCTAGCTTCTAGCGCAAACGGGCCCTTGGCAGCAGACGCATCCACATCCACGCACCACGCACCCACGGCGGTAGCAACAGCAGCAGCAGCAGCAGCAGCAGCAACGCAACGGGTATGCTGCTACTGCGTGCATTGGGCCCATCTGCCGGTCTTCCTTCACACAGACACTTGCTTGCTTCTGCTTGCTTGCTGCTGCCGCTGCCACTGCCGCTGCTCTGACAACAACGCTAACGTTAGCACCGACACAACTGGCATTGCATCGGGAATGCACGCATGCGCATGTCTGGGCGCAAGTAGAGAAGGGAAAGCATGGCCAAAGCCGGAAAGTGTCGTTGGGCATGAGGAAAAAAAAATCGACGATTGAAACACGCTTGCTTGTTCAGGGACCCCTTTCCCAAGTCGCCCCTCCCTCCGCTGCACAGTGCCCGTCGATGACAACCGTCCAAGGGTCCCATTGGGCTCCCACACACGATGCCGAAAAAGATAAGGAGGGGCTCTAGGTTCTGTGACTGACTTCGTGAGGAAGAAGCGAGGCTGAGATATCCGTAGTGGTCTGTTGTTCTCGTGAGGTTACCTTGGGGGAAGGGTGCCCAAGATTGGAGATTTCGACATCTCATTGGGCACTGAGGGCACTGAGGGCACTGATTCCTCGCTCCTCCGAACCCCCAGAGGCCGCACAAAAGTGACACCAGACACCAGAGCCATCTGACCGAGACCCTTGGGCTTTCCATTCGAGCGTTGAACGGCTCCCCCTTATTCTAGACTTCGTTACTCGTCTCCCCCGCCTGACCTTTGACATCGCCGCTTCCTTCTTACTCGTCCTTTCCGGAGCCAGGACGCGATGATGGAGGGGCAGCTGAGACCCCCCTTGGAGGCATTAGGGTATGGTTACGCAGGGCCTGGCATGTGAGCGCCCCAGCGAGCGCAATCAATCGCTGTTCGCCAGCCCCGACACGTGCAGCAACAGCAAGGTGTGCAAGTGGGAAAGGGGGTGTGACATGGCCGTGACATTTAATGCCTACGACGATAGGATATTTTTGCCCGTCAACATTTTTTTTCTTCCCGGTCTATTTTTTTCTCTTTGTCGGTGGGAGATGCCCAACTGGGGTCTAGTCTGATCCGGCAGGCTGCTCGTCTTGGCCTTTGAGAGTCGCGCCATGGATCGTCGCAACTTCGCAAGGGATTAAGGGGCAATAAGGCAGACGAAAGTCATCTTCCGTCCGTCGGCAGTCCGCTGCCGACAGCATCGGCCGTCTTTTGTCTTCTCTCGTCTTCTGCAATGACCGCCTATCCAGCACGACATTGGACAGAGATATCGTCAACATCAGCATCTTTGATGTTTTTGTGGGCATCGCGCTACGTCAGAGGCCGCGTTCAGGGCCGAGCCGGGCAACCCACGTATGGGAGGCTGCCGCGCATCGCGACACGCCCCTCCGGGCATAATGAAGCTGCAGGCAGACCATGCAATGCTCCGGCGGTTCCCTTCTTTCCAACTCTGAGAAGTGTCGGTGAGGCGCATGAGGACAGCGAGATCGGTCCATGACGTCCCATAGCCGTCTGTCGATTTGCGCCTTCTCGTATGGCTCCGAGAGGAGGCCTAGAGGGGCTCCCGACTCTTGGAGGGGCTCTCTGTAGTGGCTACGGCCGGCTCCATTCACCTTGGAGACGGTCTGGTAAATTTGTAGGGGTAATGGGCCGTAACGGGCCAGTCGATTCGCTGCGGGTCCCGAGCTGGCAGATCGACTGGCTGCAACGCGCACGCAGCGCAGACCGTCTCCAATCGGGACAGGAGCCTCTGCATCCCACGGCAAGCTTTGGTGGGCCCATTGGCCACTCAGCAGCCCGCACCAAACCAGACGGCTGACATTGGACATCAACGCAGCAAACAATGGCACCAAGGGAGAACCAGTAGGGCAGCAGAGCATGTAACATACATGACGCTCCGTCGTCTTTCGTGTGAGTCACGTCTACCATAGGGCAGACGGGAGCCCTCTGGGAGACGGAGACGGCAGCCGCCCCTTTCTTTGCTGATTCCCATCGCTTCTCTGGCGAGTGAAATGAAAAACGAATATCGAATTGGAAAGCCGTGAAAATTTTCACGGTGAGCCGAACGGGAGCAAATCAAAGCGGAAGGTCGCTGGGGTCGTGCCGCGCCAGACCAGGGGCGTGAGAAAGCCACTGGGCGGGCGGACGTGACGCTGCAGGGAAGGGGGTGGCATTCTGGAAAACAACACGCCCGGGATCAGGGAATGGAGGACCAGGGAGGCCAAGGCCCGACCGGAGCGAAGGTGAAGGACTCGGCGGTCCACTCTGGGCGCTAGGATAACAAGCCCGTATGTGATGCGCTCTGCTTCTTGCATGTGGGTTGGCCATCGTCTCTAGCCGTCCCAGCATGTGCTTGATGGGTTGACCCGCGGCGGTGGGCGTAATCTCCAGCCCGGGGGTGCGAACAACGAACAACGAAAACAGCACTCCCCAAAGGGCTCCCTGTCGTTGTTTTTGACCACGGGCGGCCAACATCAAACGGTGCCGAGATACTGTATGGAGCCACTCCGGGACGATTATCCGCAACGTTGAGGCAAACGACGGGCGGCCAGTCTAGCTCCCCAGCTGAACCGCTGGCCGATGGCAACTTTGGACTCTGCAGAGGGTCATCCGTATTCTTACCTTTATAGTAGCGCGCATCACACGGAGTAGAGTGTCCTCCAGACTCGAGAATCCACTGGAATGGAAGGCCCCGACACTCTTCCAGAGCACGCTTGCCCGAGCGAATATCGAGGGCCACGCCCAAATTGACATGGCACAGCAGAAACGGCAGGCGAGCAGAAATGGCGAACCATCTGCCAGGCGGCGGCCCGGCAAGCGCGGAGCAGCCACTATAATTCTCCAATTCGGTACCGGCAAAATGATTGACGGTGACGGTGACACGGCCTGGGCGGCAGCCAACCTGTTGCAGCCAATACCCGAGACCACCGTGCTTCCAGGCTTGTTGGACTCTGCGCTCTTGGACTCGTTCGAGTCTCGCCCAGACGGACACAAGGTCACGGTCACACCAATCCGCTGCCACTGGTGATATTGGTGCTGTAGTTACGCTGCAACTTCCCCGCGGCGGCCAAGGAGCAGGGCCCGGAATGAGGTTGGCCAGACCAGAGAAACGAGCCGGTCGACGTGACACAAGCCCGACCGCCGTCACTTGTCGCCTCGCACCAGGTCTTACTTTTATAGAGCAAGGACCTGTGGCTGTCGAACACGGTCGATGCGGAGGCACGGAGAAGCACGTCGTCGAATCGCGGGTTATTAACCTGCGTACGAATGCAGGACACCTTGATAACGTACGAAGTAGGTCGGGAGGTATCTGGTAGTTACGGACTGAGAGAGGGACGGACATCCCAGATCAGACTCGATAGAAGAGGATGGGCTATGCCCATTCGCCAATTGTGCCGTATTGTCCCTTGTAACTGGAAGACTCCTTACCTAGGTCAGGACGGCGTGCAAGGTGAAGGTTCACCTTAACCGCCATTGTGCTCGGGGATCCTACTTGGACTCTTGAGCAAGCCAACCCGTCGCATTGACATTGGATCAAAGCGGGCATCCATTACGTGGAATACTGCCACTGCACATACAGTACAGTACGGGCAACTGGATGGACATTGGGTTCTGCACGCACAAATACTGCTTGCGTATACGCGTCGACTGGAGAATTGCGTATATTGCGAACTCGAAGTTGGCGTGCACGAATTTGTTCTGTGACTTGATGGAAGCGGAGACACGTAGCATCCTCGAAATGGCTGAAGTGGGAAAGATGGAAGCCGTGAGGCCTCGTCTGGTGTCTGGGCTGGCCTCGTTCGCTCCGCACCAGCTGAAGCGAGACCTGAAATGGGCAGCGATTCACACGGCGGGGTGTCCTGTCATTGGCTGCGCAAGCACCAAAGTTTAGCTGAACTGCATGCACTATCCAAGGTTCCTCCTGCCAGATCAATCAACCCCGCGCTGAAGGGCTGCAGGGTGGTGCAGACGGCAGCCGCGACCGTGAACGCCTTCACAGGATGCGACGAACTGGACGACGGGAGACTGCCCAGCACGGCACCCACGGGAAGAAACAGGAAGATAGCAGCGCCGTCTTGTCCCAATTATCTACAGGCAGCTGTGTTGGTGCTGTGTTAGTCCTGGCACCCATCAGCTCCGGGCTTTTACGGCAGAAATTACAGGTTGCATGTATAATACGTAGACATTTACATAGGTGATAGGTGAATTTATCGCAGCGCACTGAAGCGTCTCGACTGGAGATGTCGGCGTTTTCCTGTTATTAGCGCTGAGATCTGGATTAGGACTTCCGAACCGGGCCACATGATGGTATTCTGCGGGTGGATGTGCAAAGTCACGGCCATCACGCATCGAGCCATGCGCGTTTGAAGAGAGGGGTTTCTGCCTTTCTGGGACGAAGAGGAGGGGCAAAAGAGGCGACTCTCACCCACACGCACGTATGCGCACGCAGTAAGACACCCGCGGGCAAATGGCCGCGACGAGGCGAACCGTCACGTCAGCTGCAGTCGTCTTCGCCGGCTCTTAAAATCCTTGAGTCGGCCGCTTCCCTCTCCCCGCTCCGAGCATCTCAGCCAGCTACTTTCTCCCCGTCATCCGGGAGGGTTTGCTTTTGCTGCTGTCGACGCTCCATCGCCACTTACAACTCGGTCGCAGGCATCGCAGGCATCGCTGTGGCATCATCGCATCGCTGCGGCATCATCGCATCGCAGGCGCACATCGGCCTTCACTTTCCTCCAAAGTCCGACTCCGAATCCCGCGTTTGTCAGTCACCAGTCACCAGTCACCACCCGGCTTGATTGCCTTCTAATTTGCGCCAGAAGCCCGTCGCGCACCCAGGAGGTCGGCGCGCACGCATCTTGCCTACTCTGCCGACCTTCCGTTATACCATCCGCGGCAGGCTTCCGGTGGAACGACAACACACCCCGCCATCCTCGAGCGGGAACGAATTAGTCGTCATCAACTCTGGGTTACACTTGTGCGAGCCGCTCCTGTGATCCCGCTGCCTTGATACGAACAGCCAGCCCGAGTGCCGCTCGCTCGGCAGTGCCATTCACAGGCCAGACTCGCGGGGCAATAAGATTGCGTGGGCTCGAGCAGAGCAGAGCACTCTCTGTCTACAAGAGTCATCGCATCGTGGTCTACAAATTGGAGGGAGCTGTTCCAGCCGATTCATTGTCGCCAACTTTCGCAACGCTTCGTTTACACGGCCGCCGCATTTGATATCAAGCCGCGGCACGTCGTCTGGCGTCACTTCCGCCGCATCACTCCCGCCGCTCCGGAACCCTAGCCTCCCAGGATGAAAATTGCCTAGGTTAGGTTGCAGCCAGAGCCGCTCGTTTGCGGACGAAAGAGTCATCGTGGGTGAAAGAGAAAATTTTCCACGGGCCGTTACGCACTGAACTTCAGTCCCCTGCCGCGACATTGGAACTTCCAAGCCGTCGCGTGAAGCAATTTCGCTTACCCGGAGGTGGCAGATTGGCCGAGTCAAGGGCTTTGAGCGTCCAGCGACAGAGAATCCGGGACCACAGGAATCGAAATTTGGACAATCCACAGACAATCCACAAGACACGCACCGCACTTGACGATGGAAATTTGTTGAGTGAATCATTCCGAAGAAAATAGCACTGCCATATTTCTGGTCGCTACTGCTCACTAGACGGAGCTGCGTTGCCCTGCCTCGCTCGGGTCTATTTTCAGGAGCTGGCACAAACTCCGACGCTGCGCGCTACCCCGTTGCTTCTGGCCCGACACCAGTGCAAGCAGCTTTCAACGCTCTCTCTCCCTCCGCCGTCCGAAGTGGCCATTGGCGGACAGGGGTCGAGCTGTATACAGTGCCAGGAGAATCCAGCTCAAACGGAGCGAGGGTGCGTGGCTACTTCAACCCAGCGCTGCGAGGGCCAAAAGGGGTGACTAACACGCTAAGGTCGGGAGCAGGGGTCAACCTGCTGCTGCGCCCACCCCCCCCTCCATCAGCTTCCACGAGGAAGTGACAGGGAAGAAGATTCCCCCCACTTTTTCTCATCCCCTGGCATCCATGCCACTCTCGGCCTGATTTCGCTGCCGCCCCTCTGCGCTCGCACACACATCCACACTTTGGCTGGCCTTTACGGGGGAGAACGCTGTGCGGGTTATAAAGCATTGCCAACCACCCAAATTTTCCATTTTCTACCAACCTCCATTCCATCATTCTGCATCGAGCCCTACAGTCACGACTTTTTCAATATTATTCAGCCTGGACCGTCGAAGCGTCCAGCAACTTCCAGATCTCGCCATCAAGGTCGTCGACTCACGACTTTGATGCCCAACTCTGCGTGTCGGGGAATATCAACACCAGTGACATGTTCTCAGACAGAAGAAGGTTTTCCTCCCATCTTCCTACCGACCACAGACCAAGGTGACGGGTTGTCGCCTTCTCCCGCGTCACGACACCGGCGCGATTGAGCTCCAATTTTGAGGAAACAACGACAAACGACAAAAACAACATCTAACACCCCTCGCAGCGGCTGGGGGGGAACACACGACATCTTCGAGTCGAGAGAGAGAGAAAGAGATCCGGATGTCTCGCAGGACATCGCAAGAGCCTGAGAGGATGGCCAACTACTCGCCATATGGATCTACTCCGGCCCAGGAATTCTTCTTCGACGAGAAGAAGTTTCCGAGCCCGTCGCCGACGCCATCTCCCCGCGGCCCAGGTTACTACTTCGGCGCGACCCAGCAGCGACCTGCGACGCGAGCTCACTTCCGCAACGGAAGCACAAACACCAACGGCTTCAACTACAGCAGTCCCCGTGGCCCTTCGTTCTCGCCTCGTTACACGAGCGACGGCCAATACGCCACTGCTAATGTGAGTTCATCGCGGTCAACGCGCAAGCCAAGTTTTTCGGGTCCGCGCCCCAGGCGCGAGCGTCGCAACTCATATTCCTACTATCGGGCCTCAGACTCTCATGGGGAATCCGACGAGGACGAGTTTATCGAGATCAACGGCGTCACCTACGTGCTGCCTGCGCGATCGAAGTCGAAGCGATACAGGGAATACTATACTGTCAACGCTGGAGGGCACCCCACTGATTACCACTACTATGCACAGGGCGGTCCTTCTTACTTCGACAGAGACTCCGGGTACGCGTCGCCGCGCTATGAGCCAGAGCGCAAACCCGTCGTCGGACACTCGCGGCGCAACTCCACGTCTGTGCCGCTTCAGCGGCCTCAGACGGCCCGTCCCGCCAGTGCCAGCGCGCACAGGAAGCCGCCTCCGCCTCCGGTCGCACGCCAAGCAACCGAGCAGGACGCCAAGGACAATGGAATCCCGCCAGGATACTCTTTGAAGAACTGGGACCCCGCCGAGGAACCCATCATGCTCCTCGGCAGTGTCTTTGACTCCAACTCCCTGGGCAAGTGGATATATGACTGGACCGTCTACCATCATGGACCTGCCACTCCCATCTCGGACATGGCTGGCGAGCTTTGGCTTCTCCTGATCCAGCTGGCCGGAAAGATCAAGCGCTCCGAGGAGATCATTCGTGACATACGATCTAAGGACAACCGGGAGATGGTTGATGAATTCATCCAGGCTGGCGAGCGCATCACCGACAAGCTCCAAAAGCTGCTCAAGACTTGTGAACAGCCCATGCTTCGGTCAACTGCCAAGAGCCGCAAGGACTCCCAGTTGGGCAAAAATGCCGGTGTCGAGTTCGTCGAGACTCTGTTCGGCCGCGAGCGCGAGCTCGAGAAGACTGAGCGCTTCATGGCCTCTGTCCGTCTTTGGAACTTGCGTTTTGACACCAACTGCGAGGAGATCCTGAGGAACCCGACCATGTAAAATTATTCACCCGCCTGGACTCATCTATACCGCCAGTGTCGGTTGCTTCCTCTCACCACATCACACAACACACATATACGCATATACCCACTAGCCAGGTTGTACGATTAGGTCTCTTTTCGGGGTCATTTGGTCATCCGTCATATACATCGGGGGTCTATTTTCGTCACGTCTGTCTGGAGGCTTTTCTGCCTCATCGATAAAGGAAACTCGGGAGCAGTCCCGCAGCCGGTGGCCGTCATTTTTCTCAGTCTTTCAGAGATACCCAATGTTCTCGTTTTCGGCGACGACACCATACCAAGAACACAAGCCGATGTTGATGAAACAGGATGGGACACGAGCACAACAAAAGCGAGTCAGCGAGGAAGCTGTAGCGCAAGAGGAGGAATGTACAAGACTATCTAGAGGAGTGGTTTCGGTTGTTAAGTGGGGCGGTCTTCTGCAATTTTTTTGCGCAATGAAATATGTCGCGGGACAGGGACTCGATGGTCCTGCCGCCGGGCACACTGTTTAATGGTGATTGTTTTGAGACTGGGAAAGAAGGTTTTATTGTTTTTGGATTATCCTGTTGGGGCACCGCTGGGCGTACCTGAGCCTCGTCCGTTTTACCCTGTTTCTGAGTGGCTCATACATTTATACGAGCCGCCCATTTCCTTTCTGTTTCTTGGGGGTCTCACAGGATGAAGGATATACCCAGCTTTTGACATTGAATTCCGATGCAATGGATCATAGACTATTTTACAACAAGGAGGATTTCTAGGTTCAATCAGATTGCACCCCTTCAATCGCTGCTGCCATCTCGGTGAACTCTTTGGTCCAAGGTGTTGCACAACCCTTTCTAGGGGCATCACGGAATCGGCAGCCCACATTCCTGCTGTGAAATGGTGGGTTCCTCAACTATCTGAGATCACAGCATTGTAGTTGCACAGCACAATCTTTATTAATTAATTTTGTTTGCACCTCTCTATTCTTTTCGCATCTTGTGCTGCGTGAAACTGTTTCGTGTGTGGCTTGTGCAAGCAAACCCTATATTTGAGCCCTAATGGATAAATGTCGTGGCGCTGCTGATTTGATTTGGCCTCGAAAAGTTGATAATTTGTTGTTTCCAATATTTCGCGCCACGGATCAGAGACCAGGGGGGGTGGTTGGAAGGGAGGAATTAAAGATTGAGAGAAAATTTTTCTCTCCCCCCCCCCCCCCTCTTCCAGGTAAGATGAAACAACCATCCCACACCCGGACATGAAAATCCTATTGAGGCAGGGGATCAGAGATCAGAAAAAAAAACTTTACTTTCGCGAATTACGGCACGGATGGTCCGGGTTCTGGTCCGGGTTCTGGTTCTGGTTCTGGTTCGGGTTCTGGTTCTGCCTGATGAATTTGTATTGGATTGGATTAGACTCCATGGCCGTAAACGGAGGGCGTCGTGTCATTGAAACGCCCTTGGTGGAAAAGAACAGTACAGAAAGCATCCGATGCGATGGGATGTGATGCGACCAAGTGAGGAAATGGAGGCGAGGGACAAAAGATTACAATGTCAGATAAAAAACAAAAAAAAGAAAAGAAAGTGAAAAAACATTTGCATGCGATCTCCGCGCCCCACACTTTCCATTATCCGTATCTTTTTCTTTCACACACCCCCCGAATCGAGTTTGTAATATCTACGAAGTACCGCAATCATTATCGCATCTCCTCTGTATACCGACGCCGAGAAAAGCAAAAGAGACCCGGCGACAGAGAATAACAGAGGACAGTTAGAGAGAAGGAGGAGAAAAAAAGCAAATACCCGAACAGGGAATAGAGGCTTTTTTTCGGATTCGGGTTTCAGGGGCGGCGGTTTGAGGTCATGTCGTCGCCCACCACCAACACCAACACAACAGCCCTTTTAAAACTCCAACTCCCTGCTGAAATCCGAGAACACAGTGCCTGCCTACATACCTTGGACACCGGAACGTAGTAGCATCCCGCCAGATCTTCCAGACAGACCGACAGACTGCGACCTCCATGCTACCACCCGCCAAGGCAAGGCAAATGTGGCCGGCCGGCGGCCGCATACACACGTATATTCTGCCTCTGGGATGGGCCTTTCGGCTGCTTTCCTTCCGTGCACGGGCCCGCGACGCGGCATACCGGCTTTTTCCCAATTCGATTCAGGGGGGAAAGATGTTTCCTTTTGGTCGGTTCGGTCACACGAAACATCCTCTCCCTAGTCTCCTTTTGGTCCATCAGTATATCTTTTCGTACAGTGCTTACCATGCTCGTATTAAGTTTCTAAGGTGTGGGTGGCCGAGATTGAAACATCGCCCCCGCGCGCCGCGGGTGCCGCATCCGTTCGTAGTCTGCCGTCTGCTGCAATACTTGCCTCCAACCTTTTTTGCGGTGGCGCGCGAAAAAATTATATCACACTTGCAAGGCGTGACCGGTGTGTGTGATATGGGAAAGGAGAGCCGATACATGGGACGGACGCCTCATTCCCTTTTTGTGTACCTACTGGCCTCCGTGCGCGAGCGCATGTTCTGGTTCTGTCTCAGTCTTGTTGGAGACTCGGCGTCCAGTTTGTGTCTTGGTGTCCTAGTTCTAGCTCTACCTACACCATCGTCCGACCAAGCCGTCTCCAGCCAGCCAGCAACTGGACCCTCTTATCCCCGAGTCCGACAACTACTACTACCTAAATACGGAAGGCAGTCAGGCAACACCACCACCTACAGCAGCCTCCACCATCGGCGCCAGCCAGCGGCTGACTGTACATACCTAGCACAAACCCCAGTGGCTGTCACTCTCGTGAGATCGGAATCGGAGCTGGGCTGGCAGCGCGGGGGGCGGAAGAAGGAGAAAAAAGTGACCTGCGATCCCATCCTTACTGCCTATTTGCTGCTTGCTGTAGCCTTTCTCCCGGGAAAGAATAAGGCACCAAGTATGTAAGTGCGGCGCGGGAACGCGGCTGAGCCCCCGAGTTTGAGGTTGGCGCTTTGGTCGGCCTTTTTGCTTTCTTTTTTGATATCAACCGACACTCCTCGGCGCGTCATCTTTTAGCATCATGTCATCGACCTACAGACACAGACAAAAAAACAACAACGTCTTAGATACTGTGCTGCCTGTAACTGGCAGATTGTGGGTGCCGAGGAAAGATGGGTTCGGTTGTCAAGGCTGAAACCTGATCCAGAGAAAAGAGAGAGTTAAAAGGGCGGCAGCCCCTGATTTTCCCGATCTGCGCGTTGCGCGACGACACACCTCTCAGTCGCACGGGGAAAAGCGTGAGACGCTTCGGTACGGAGTACAATCCCCCCCCCCCCCCAAAAGCCACCCGCTCAGCCAGCCGCCCTCACCTCGGTCACCGTCGTGCAGGCCGCACCGTCTGGGCCGAGTCCCGCGTACTACGACCTACTCTGGGGTCTGCTTGCCGTACAGTATGTAGATATCGGACCGGCTTGTGCATTTCCCTTGCCATTTTCCCACACACCCCTCCCGGGCGGAAACTTCACAAGGTAATGAAAATTAAAGATGGCTGGCGGCACCAAGGCATTTCCTTCTCTCTTTCGGGCGAGGCAATGAATGGTCCAGGGGACCACGGAGAACTAACAGCGCCTCGTCGTCGGCACCACTCACACGGCATGCATGCTCATAGACACCGCATTTTTGCAACTGCGCCGTACACTATTCCGTGCCTGCGGCCCAGTGCGTGGAATAGCTTCCACAAGGACAAGAAGAAGGAATCCCTTGGGTGGTCCACCTCGGGTCCGGTGCCCCTCGTCGCGTACCCGGTGGTGCCCTGAGCGACACCAGCAGCAGAGAGATCGCGTCGCCTCGATCCTCCTCCTGTAGACTAAGAGTAAGGCAGACGACGCTTGATTGAGTTTGCGGCCAAGGGGCACCACCAATACCATCCGTAAAGGCAGGTTAAGTGTTCTAGACACACACGAGCACACAGACACAGACAGACAGTGTCACAGACACACCTCATAGACACACAGATGTACGAATCCGTTCATGTACACGCAGGACATGACCGCCGTGACACGCATTTCCCCCAGCAGTGTAGTGTGTGTGCAGTGTTGGCATCACATAACACCACCAATGCGCATCCTCCATCCTCGCTACTGTATGTATTATATCCCGCGCTATATCAACCGCAGATCATCATAGCGGCGTCGTCAATGCCAGCCCTACAGTATGCACACCACACCTACCTATAACCGGATTCTTATCACGACATCACGAGTTGGCGTGAAAACCCCAGCGACGCGCGCAGCTCTTGGGCTGGTCCGTGATAGGCCTGCCATAGGGTGGGGTGTGGTATGTGATGAACCATCATCCATGGATCACAACCCAAAAAAGGCCGAGGCTGGTTTTCTCCAGGCAACGTGACTCACCTCACCTCACGTTTTTGCACACCTTTTCTAGCGGAGCGTCTCAAGTCCAGTGAGATGACCTGCGCAAGCGCAATTGCCAGCGCGTCGGGTCGCGCATCCAGCTTTTTTTCCTAGGTGCATGGACGTAGTAAGTTGCCGCGCGCGGCGCCCCGTCGGGCGTGTTCCATTGCGATGCGATGCGATGCGAAGCGATGCGATGGCGATGCGCCGCCGCTGAATAGCTCCACCCAGCTGCTGGCCGCCCCGTCTGGCCGCGGGGGGACCTGGCGAGGATGGGATGGGGGCGGGGGCTCCACTGTAAACTCAACTCCAACTGCAGAGGTTTACGAAACAGCAGCTGCCAAAACAGTGCACACGGTATCCGTACCCTCGACGGGCTGGCGCTGAGCCCCGGGGCGCTGAAATGTGCGGCGGCGGCAGCTGGGGAGCGGGCCAGTTTTCGAGGCCACTATTTTAGGCCCGAGTCCTCAAGGTAGCAGCCTGCCCTGGTGGAGGAGGGGTGTGTGTTTTATGGTGGGATGGTGTGCGGCGGGGGCTTCTTTTTGGGAGGGGCCGAAAAAAGAAAGAAAAAAAAGGACCTTTGCGCCCTGTCACACAGACACACGCGCGTGCGGAGCCCATCAGAAAGATCTGCCATGCGAGCATGCCCATCATTCATTCTTTGGCGAGCAAGCTAGTTGGTCGGCGGGCGCGTCGTTCGTCGTCGACGTCGGCTTTCTTCCAGCGCCTACACCCAGCGACTTGCACTGGATTTGTTGCTACACCCACCCTGAAGACTTGCCGAAAATGCTTATTCGACACCGCGCCACGCCGGCAAGCGCACGGAGCCGTTTTTCTTTTCTTTCTCTCTCTTCTTCATCCCTTCGCCCGAAGTCAAATCGTGCCGTCTTGTGCCGTCAGGCGTCAGGACAAGTGTGCCAAAAAGCAAGGACCGAAATGTTTCGACGAAACACCCCCTCCCGGCCCTGTAGTCGAGGGGAGGGCGACTCGACTGTGACTCGACGCAAACGCAAACACGAAACGCAAACACGGACAGACGCAAACGCACAGCACGCTGGGGTTTGTTTCTAAACGTACCAACTTTACACGCCCAATGGGCGACTTTTTCAATGGCCTTGTGTGATATAATACTTTTTGGATGGTAGCGAGAAGCAGAAAGAGGCTGTCCTATACAGTTTGCTTCCCCGTCACGCCCACCTATCAATCACACTTGGGAGGCCTGATGCACACTCCCCCCTCCTCGTTAGATCCCGGCTCAGCAAGCAAAGACAAATGCCAATGAACTCCCCCTCTAAAAAAAAGTGCCTTGGGTATTATACACTGTGTTGGCAATATCGCTGGCTGGCGCAAAAAAAAAAAAAAAAAAAAAAAAGAGGGTGTCTTCATCTATGTTCGGCACCAAAAGGTAGTAGAACCAGAGCCCGTTTGGAGGCATGCACGCCATCCCGTCTCACCGGGCTGGCTTCGCGCGGGCGCATGCAAGCCCCTTCGCCCCGGTGAACCAACGGCCCCTCTTGCCGCTTCGCTCCCTTCACTGGATGATGTTTTCTTCTTCTCTCGGCTGGCTCAACTCGGTTGAATCCCAAATCAGACAGAGATACCCTGCGAGGGGAAACACAAGGGGCCCCGGGGTCCTGAAGAGTCAGGACTCGGTTTCCGTACCCCCTTGCTGTGTAATTCCCCTCCTAACCCCCACAAGCTTCGAAACTCACTGGTTAGGTCGTACATACATACCTAGGTAGGCGCAGGACCTGGATATGGATGGATGGATTGCCTAAGCGGACGTGTCAGCGTTTCGACGTCCCTGTCACCAACTGTTGTCAGCGTGGTGTTAGGCAGGTATGCACCTACCCGCAAGGCAAGGTAGGCAGCGGGCGCCGTCAATCCAGGTTGTGTCTCTGTCAGGCGGAGTGGCTGAACCGAAGCCATAGCCAAGTGCCGGAGAGGTGCCCTGCAATTGAAGGTTTCCGCTCCGGCAACAGCAAACACAGCCGGTTGCTCGGGATTTCGACTGGGCCGAATGCCCTGCCATTCCGTTTCCTCCCTCTCCAGCCCTCGCTAACTTAATTAACAACGTGCCGATTACAAGTCGTTTTACCGCCGAAACCCGCGCGCTGGTCGGCCAAAGTATCTTTGCCAGGCATTCCGTTCCTCTGCACGGTACAGTGCCGCATCCTAACGAGACGCCCTAGGTCGCGCAAGTCCGCCCACCAGGCCCTGCAAAAGAAAAACTGTGAAGGGCTGTCCTGGCGCGCTGACATGGAACTGACCTGTGGGTAGGCGCTGTTTTGCGGCCCGGAGACGCGCTAAACTAGACAAAATCTGACACTCCCGCGGGCGGCGCTCAGCCTTATGGGCATCCGTGGGATCCTGCTGCTGACAGGGGGGCGTCGAGTTAGCTTGCCCAATGAGACGTCTCCACTTGGGGGTCTAGCGGTCCTCACTTTTTCATGCCTTTTCTGCTTTCGGTAGACATTGGTCGATTCGACTGCGGCACGGCCAACAAGACGTCATCCTTTTCTCTCTTGGCTCGGCTTGCCAGCCCGGCGGCTTTCCGATTTCCGATCTCGTTAGCTTGTGGGATCAGCGGCATTGGGGCGGGTTTTTGCTACCTACACCAGGGTCTGTCTCCCGGTCACCTTGGGTGGATTGTTAGGAGTGTGCTTATTGGTGGCGTCTTGCTCTCGGGTTTTTGTTGCGACACTTGTTTAATTTTCACAAAAAAAAATCTAGAATGATTCTTGCTGTTATTCTTTTTATTTGGTAATTTCCGAGCCATATTAATCATGTCCGGTGTTCTGTAACTCCATTTACGCCGTTTTTAATTACCACAGCAGTCTCGTGGGTGACCAGTAATACAACTAGGGAGAAGAAGTTTGGGTTTTTCTGCTCCTTTTAGACTAAGGATTAGTTCAATTGTAAGTCCTTCGGAAGCCATTATATATACAATTTACTTGAAGATATAAAAACACAACACATTACCGACGGGTTGGCTAGATCCAATGAACGAATCAAGTTCACCGACCCAACAATCGTTTTCGAGAACCTCACGCTTTGCCCGACAGCCCCCTTACAGTCCAGGTGCTAGCGAACAGGCCCCACCATCTTCTTTTTCTCAGTGACTGATTGTGCACCGTCCCAGGGGAATCATAATAGTCCTCACATTATCGCTGTGTACCTTGGTCAGATAACTACCTTACCTATCCATCCCGCCTACACTCGGGTTACTTAGCACTCTTTTATCAAAATATCTATACGGTGGGCTGAGTTATTGGAAAAATTCGTCAAGGTCTTAGTAGAATTAGGAGCAAGGGCAATGTGTCATTCAACTGACGAGTTCAGTAATATGATTGTGAACAGCTCCTAAAGCTAATTACAGCCTTCATGTCTGTCTAGAGTTCATCGACGATAAGATTCAGACATCCCGGCAAGTTGTTCATTGTATTAAATAGCCACTTGACTAAATATATTCGCCCTCCTAGCTCTATATCTTACAACCATTAGAAGTGTCTTCCTTGTCCTCGTGTGAAGCAGATGAGATAAATCCGTCGATGCTCATGTAATAGAGTAATTGTAATTTCACCTAATTAACATATCCTTTGAAGGCTGCTTGTCAAGACACGTTACAAC